TTGGGCTCTGTGCTGACAGCTCAGAGCCTGGAGCCTGCTTCCGATTCTGTGTCTCTCTCTCTCCCTGCCCCTAACCCACTTGCCCTCTGTCTCTCTCAAAAATAAATAAACATTGAAAAAAAAATTAAAAAAAGAACATGTTTAATTTCAGCATTTTTGTGGGGTTTTTTTATTTTCCTTCTTGGATTCATTTCTAGTTTCAGTCCATTGTGATCAGAAAAGACAGTTTGTATAATTTCAGCCTTTTAAATCTATTAAGTCTTGTTTTGTGGTTTAACATATGGTCTATCCTGGACAGTGTCTGCACTTGAGAAAATTGTGTTTTGTGGTGGTGTTAGGTAGCATGTTCTGTTCTGTACCTGTCAGGTCCACCTGGTGTGTAGTGTTGTTCAAGTCCTCTTGTCTTAATAATCTTGTGTCTAGTTCTTTAGCCATTACAGTAGTTCCCATTTATCCATGGTTTTACTTTCGGCCATTTCAGTTACCTGTGGTTAACTGTGGTCCTTTAGATGATCCTGCTCCTGAAATATTGTCAGAAGGTCAGTAGTAGCTTAATGCTACGCCACAGTTCCTATGTCATTCATCTCCCTTTACCTCATCTGGTAGGTGTTTTATCATCTTACATCACAAGAAGGATGAGTATGGTACAGTAAGATATTTTGAGAGAGACCACAGTTAAATAAATTTTTTTACAGTCTACTGTTAACAATTAGGAAAGTCCTATTTTAGTCTCTTACTGTGCTTAATTTATAATTTAAACTGTCATAGGGATGCATATCTAGGAAAAAGCATAGTATGTACAGGTTTCAGTACTATCCATGTTTTCAGGCATCCACTGCAGGTTTTAGAACGTAGCCAGTGGAGGTCTTGGAATGTGTCTTCAGTGGATAAGGGGCGGGGACTACTGTACTGAAAGTGGGATATTACATTACTATGGAGGTGTTTCTCCCATCAACCTGTTAGTGTTTTGCTTTATATATTTGAAAGGTCTGGTGTTTGGTGCATATGTAATTGTTCTGTCTTCTTGGTAAATTGACCCTTCTTTATATAATGTTTTTGTCCCTTGTAACTTTTAACTTAAAGTTTTGTGTGATGATAGTACAGCCACTCTTGTTCTCTTGATTATTATTTTGTATGGAATATCTTTTTGTATCCTTTCACTTTAGAACTGTGTGGTGTCCTTAGATTTAAAGTAAATCTCCTGTAGACAGCATATGATTGGATCCTGTTTTTTATTTATTCTGCCACTCTGTGTCATTTAGGAAGTTTAAACCATTCATATTTAGGATGATTACCGATAGGGAAAGACTTTTGCCATTTTATTGTTTCTGTAGAACAGCTTTTTTGTCCTTCCTTTCCTCTCAATGCTTTTGCATTTAGTTTTTTTTGTTTGTTTTTTTTTTCTTTGTAGTGACATGTTTTGATTCCCTTTTCGTTTTCCTTTTGTGTAAATTCTATAGATATTTTCTTTGTGGTTACCTTTGGTATTTTCTAGGACATGCTAAAATTACAGTAATCTGGGGCACCTGAGTGGCTCAGTCAGCTAAGATTCAGGTTATTGATTTTGGCTCAGGTCATCATCTCATAGTTCATGGGTTTGAGCCTTGTGTTGGGTTCTGTGTGGGCAGTGTGGAGCCTGCTTGGGATTTTCTCTCTTCTTCCCTCTCTGCCACTCCCTTGCTCATGCATGCTTTTGGTCTTTCTCTCAAAATAAATAAAATTTTTTTTTTAATGTTTATTTTTGAGAGCAAGAGACCGAGACAGAGTGCAAGTGGGAGGGGGAAGAGCGACAGAAGCAGGCTCCATCCAGGCTCTAAGCTGTCAGCACAGAGCCTGATGCGGGGCTCGAACCCACCCACACCCATGAGATCATGACCCGAGTCAAAGTCGGACGCTTAACCGAATGAGCCACTCAGGCACCCCAGTAAATATATTTGAAAAAAAAAAATGACAACAATCTACTTCAGACTGATATTTTCAATCGCAAATAAAAATTTTACTCTTTAACAACTCTCCTCCCCCACTTTATTAGTCACAAATTATATATAGCATACTCGTTAACATAGATTTATAGTTTTTTAATGCTTTTTGTTTTTTAAATCCTACAAACTTAAGAGTTCTGAAACAATTACAGTGATACTGGTTTATATTTGTCTATATATTTAGCTTTACCAGAGAACTTTATATTTTCACATGGCTTCAAGTTACTCTTTAGTATACTTTTGTTTCAACTTGGAGAACTCCCATTGCAAGTCTAGTGAGGAACTCCGGATACTTTAGCTTTTTTATCGAGGAGTGTCTTAATTTCATCCTCATTTTTGAAGGACAGTTTTGCTAGATACTGTTTTTTGGTTGACTTTTTTGTGAGCACTTTAAATATATCATCTGACAACCTTCTGACCTGCAAGGTTTCTGCTGAAAAATCCACTGATAATCTTACAGAGGTGATGTAGGTGATGAATCGATTTTCTCTTGCTGCTTTTAAGATCCATTGTCTTTGGATTTGAGAGCGTGATTATAGTGTCTTGATGTGGGCTTCTTTGAGTTTATCCTACTTCCAAGTAACTTCTTGTGTTTGTATATTCATTTCTTGCCTCAAATTTGGGAAGTTTTTGGCCATTATTTCTATAAATAAGCCTTTTGCTCTTTGCTTTTCTGGGAGTTCCATAATGCATATATTGATGTTTGTGATGCTGTCCCACAGGTCCCGTAAGCTTTGTTGTTCATTTTCTTTCCTTTGTGCTCCTCCCAGACTCAATAATTCAAATGAACTTTCTTCAAGTTTGCTGATTCTTTTGTCTGAGTCTGCTGTTAAACCCCTTAGAGATTTTTTTCAGTTCAGTTACTGTGTTTTTGTGGACCATAATTTTGATTTTTTTAAACAATTTTTCTGTTGATATTTTGTTTGTATATCATTTTCCTGATTTCATTTAGTTGTCCAAGTTCTCCTTTAGCTCATTGAGCAGTATTTAAGACTGTTGTTTTAAAGTCTTTTTAGTTAGAGGCTTGTATTTCTTTAGTGTCAGGTTTTGAAAATTTATTTTGTCTTTTGAATAGACCATATTTCCCTTTCTTTGTATGTCTTTTGTTGATATTAGGTTATTTGAATAATAGCCACTCCCTCCCCATCTTTGTGGATTACCTCCATGCAGGGGAAGATCTTCACTAAACAACCCGGCATAAAGGCTCAGGGTTGTCTCACTTTTTCTGGAGATACATCTTTCTTGCGTGTGTGTGTGTGTGTGTGTGTGTGTACGCATGCATTTTTGTTCCAGTTCTTGTATATACTCAGTTGCTTTTTAAGTGTTAATTTCTCTAAGAGTCTCATCCTGTTTCCTGTATAGAGCGTTAGCTGTTCTGTTTTATTCTTCTGCCCATAGTCTCTTGCCCATAGGTGCCTGTGAGCTTGAATGTCCTCTGTAGCTCTTGTGTCCTGGGACCCACCACAACTTTCAGCAGCTTGCAGTCTGATAGTATGCCACACAGTTCCGGCGTTCTGAGATAGGCAAGTTAGAGAAAAGTCCCTTGGGAAGCTCTCAAACAAGTCAGAATGTTGTAAGCAATTTTTATTCTTTATCATCTGTCCTGAGGGAAGAGCCAGGAATTGTCAGTTTCCTTCTGAGCACATTGTGCTGCACCAAGGATGGGGTGGGGCAAGAGCAAGGAAAAGAAGTCCGTGATATTTCTGCCGTTTTGTGTGTTTTTCTTGTTTTATTAGTGTTGGTTGCTGTAGCTAATTTTTAAGTTTATTTTTTGAGAGAGAGAGAGTGGGGGAAGGGCAGAGAGAGAGGAGAGAATTCAGTGTAGAGCCCTTCACAGGGCTTGATTTCACAAACTGTGAGATCATGACCTGAGCTGAAATCAAGAGTCTGACGCTTACTCAGCTGAGCGACCCAGGCACCCCTGTAGTTATTTATCTTAAAGGAACTATCTGAAATCAGTTGGATGTATGTATGAAGTATCTACCATATAACTTACGATAGAAAAAATAAGAAGAACTTTATTTCTAAAGGTTGGAAAATTGATAAGGAATTATGATTTTTCTCATATTATGGACTATATTGTGTCCATTAGAAATGCTATTCACAAAGTAACATGAGATTACTATATAATAGAAAATATTTTATATAAAGGGTATGCTTTTTTTTTTTTTTTTTTTAAGTTTGAGACACAGTGTGAGTGGGAGAGGGGCAGAGAGAGATGGGGAGAAAGAGAATCACAAGCAGGCTCCACAGTGTCAGCGCACAGCCTGATGCAGGGCTGAAACTCACCAACTGTGAGATCATGACCTGAGCTGAAACCAAGAGTTGGATGCTTAACTGTGCCATCCAGGTGCTCCAAGGGTGTTTTATGTTTAGTAAAAATTACACAGGGAAGAAAAAAGACTGAAGGTAAAAATAAAAAGATCAAGAAAATATTAATGGTTCTGTATTGCATCTTAAGTGCTGGTTTTCTTATAACTTTGACATTTTCAGTTACCACAGTGCGTATGCATTTCATAATCAGATGTTAACAGGCTAATTTTTAAATACTTGTTTAACCTTTTTTTTTTTTTTTTTT